TAACTTGGAGACTAAATCCTCCATATAATAATAATAATAAGAATAAAAATAAAGTTATTTGCAAAGGGTGCAAAGAACAGTTACTGGTGGATTCTGTCATTATAGGACAGGCACTACATAAACAAAGATCTTTACATTCTGCCTATATAGACTATTGTAAGGCTTTTGATTCGGTACCGCATTAATGGCTGCTGAAAGTTCTGGAAATATACAAGATATCACCGCAATTAATCGAAATGATGGAACACTTAATTACTACTTGGGAAAATTGGGAAAGTTATCGCAACCAAAAACTATAGAAGATACATTCTTAAAGATCCAGCTGTTACTAGTAATACTTGGCAGAAGATGTCAAAACAATACAACACATAACAGGGGGTTGTACTATTCTAGCATCAACTGACTATCTGCAAAGAGAAATAAATTGGTCAGAATTATTCACCAGAAACTTGCAGTAAACAGTCAGTTAATTTCGGAGTCTCTTCCTTGCTATCGGTATAATCCGCTGAACATTCTGGAAAATGACCAATTCAAATTATATTGGGACAGAACTATTCTCACAGATGGAACAATATCGGCTAATAGACCTGATATGGTCTGGACCGACAAGATAAATAAAAATACTTATATCATAGACATAGCAGTTCCCAATACAAATAATCTACAAGAAACAATTGCAACTAAAATCGGGAAATACTCTGATTTAGCTATTGATAAAGAAATAAAAAATACCGCTGATTGATGATTTCTCGTTTTCAACATGTTTTTAAGATTTTATCGCAAAATCATTGTCAAATTGAATATGACTGATTAGATTAGATTCTTCGAGGTGGCTATCGGCTTGTTCCACTGCGTCCACTTCAGATCTATTGTGGTCCTCTGCTGATCCTTAGGTTACACTCTCCAGTTCTATCATTTTCAAAAAGTCTAGTAACTTGGAGACTAAATACTCCATTTAATAATAATAATAATGAAGTTATTTCCAAAGGCTGCAAAGAACAGTTACTGGTGGATTCTGTCATTATAGGACAGGCACTACATAAAGAAAGATCTTTACATTCTGCCTATATAGACTATTGTAAGGCTTTTGATTCGGTACCGCATTAATGGCTGCTGAAAGTTCTGGAAATATACAAGATATCACCGCAATTAATCGAAATGATGGAACACTTAATTACTACTTGGGAAAATTGGGAAAGTTATCGCAACCAAAAACTATAGAAGATACATTCTTAAAGATCCAGCTGTTACTAGTAATACTTGGCAGAAGATGTCAAAACAATACAACACATAACAGGGGGTTGTACTATTCTAGCATCAACTGACTATCTGCAAAGACATACTAAAGTGGTCAGAATTATTCACCAGAAACTTGCAGTAAACAGTCAGGTAATTTCGGAGTCTCTTCCTTGCTATCGGTATAATCCGCTGAACATTCTGGAAAATGACCAATTCAAATTATACTGTGACAGAACTATTCTCACAGATGGAACAATATCGGCTAATAGACATGATATGGTCTGGACCGACAAGATAAATAAAAATACTTATATTATATAGACATAGCAGTTCCCAATACAAATACTCTGCTTTACAAGAAACAATTGCAACTAAAATCGGGAAATACTCTGATTTAGCTATTGATAAAGAAATAAAAAATACCGCTGATTGATGATTTCTCGTTTTCAACATGTTTTTAAGATTTTATCGCAAAATCATTGTCAAATTGAATATGACTGATTAGATTAGATTCTTCGAGGTGGCTATCGGCTTGTTCCACTGCGTCCACTTCAGATCTATTGTGGTCCTCTGCTGATCCTTAGGTTACACGCTCCAGTCCTATCATTTTCAAAAAGTCTAGTAACTTGGAGACTAAATCCTCCATTTAATAATAATAATAATGAAGTTATTTCCAAAGGGTGCAAAGAACAGTTACTGGTGGATTCTGTCATTATAGGACAGGCACTACATAAACAAAGATCTTTACATTCTGCCTATATAGACTATTGTAAGGCTTTTGATACGGTACCGCATTAATGGCTGCTGAAAGTTCTGGAAATATACAAGATATCACCGCAATTAATCGAAATGATGGAACACTTAATTACTACTTGGGAAAGTTATCGCAACCAAAAACTATAGAAGATACATTCTTAAAGATCCAGCTATTACTAGTGATACTTGGCAGAAGATGTCAAAACAATACAACACATAACAGGGGGTTGTACTATTCTAGCATCAACTGACTATCTGCAAAGACATACTAAAGTGGTCAGAATTATTCACCAGAAACTTGCAGTAAACAGTCAGTTAATTTCGGAGTCTCTTCCTTGCTATCGGTATAATCCGCTGAACATTCTGGAAAATGACCAATTCAAATTATACTGGGACAGAACTATTCTCACAGATGGAACAATGTCGGCTAATAGACATGATATTGTCTGGACCGACAAGATAAATAAAAATACTTATATTATATAGACATAGCAGTTCCCAATACAAATACTCTGCTTTACAAGAAACAATTGCAACTAAAATCGAGAAATACTCTGATTTAGCTATTGATAAAGAAATAAAAAATACCGATGATTGATGATTCCTCGTTTTCAACATGTTTTTAAGTTTTTATCGCAAAATCATTCTCAAATTGAATATGACTGATTAGATTAGATTCTTCGAGGTGGCTATCGGCTTGTTCCACTGCGTCCACTTCAGATCTATTGTGGTCCTCTGCTGATCCTTAGGTTACACTCTCCAGTTCTATCATTTCCAAAAAGTCTAGTAACTTGGAGACTAAATCCTCCATATAATAATAATAATAATAAAGTTATTTGCAAAGGTGCAACGAACAGTTATTGGTGGATTCTGTCATTATAGGACAGGCACTACATAAACAAAGATCTTTACATTCTGCCTATATAGACTATTGTAAGGCTTTTGATTCGGTACCGCATTAATGGCTGCTGAAAGTTCTGGAAATATACAAGATATCACCGCAATTAATCGAAATGATGGAACACTTAATTACTACTTGGGAAATTCACAGCAAGGCCAATTCAAATTCAAGGGACAGCAAGGCCTTTATTTAAGGACCTAGCTCTAAAACCAAATGCTTAGCCGGAATAAAGTGCGGATTACCACAGGTCTCTTGACTGGACACATGGCTGTCAAGTGTTACCTGAACAAGCTCAACCTGTCTTTGCTGCAGAATCTGCGATAAAGATCCTGAAACAGCGGAGCACATAATATGTCACTGCGAGGCGCTGGAACGCAAACGACACTTTCTATTTGAGAAAAGGAAGGCTAGAACCGGAGGAACCTATGATCCTATCAAGAAGCTGCATAAGTTGGTGCAGGGTACAGGGATAGGAAAATGGGTGCAGATATGGAAAGGGGACAAACACAATAGGCCTCACAGGTCGCAGGGTTTCCGACAGAGGGTGGCCCCTTGTTATTAGAAAAAAATACGGGTCTACTTAGAGAAAAACCCATAACATAGTTCCAAGACCCCCATGGTTACTATGACCTTATTTTCTTTCCTTTCAGAGAAAAGCATCACTTATCCAACAATATTTTCCTTGGTAACAGGGAAGCTATAAGAGAATAGTTAAAATTGAGGTTCTTTCCAGAAGAAACCATTCCAATACTCTTATCGTCATTTTCAGAAAATACCATAAAACATTATTCCTATTGTTCAGCATTTTCATTACTTTTAGTTACAAACCTAAGAGGTATAGCGGGAAAGCGCAATTTTATTAATCATTCATAATATCGCCAAAGTATTTTAATAATTTCATATTATGGATGTGAATAAAAAAGACAGAGCTAAAAATATCAGACTGACATTTAATAGAATTTCTATTCTATTGCATTCGAAAAAACACCTTCCACATTTACCACAACAAAAATGATGAAGAGAGAATAAATTAAAAACAAATAAAGATAGCGGTGATCGCTATCTTAAATTATTATCTTTTTTACACTTTTGCTCATCCTAACATAATAATAACAGTATAACAGTATAAATCATAAAACTGATGGTACAAATTAAGTTTAATGTACCGTATGATCAAGCGGGCTTTGACTTAACAACAGTTAAAAATATTCTAATGCTTCACACAAAAATTATTTATCTGTTATCAGCCAAAGCATGCTTGATTATAAAACTTTTTAAGCGCATTGTATGTTTTATACAATAATAAATATCATCTACATACCGGGCGCGTCTCAAAAGTGGCTCATCCCATTAACTTTTTTATTTTTTCAAATAAAAAAACGAGATTTGGTATTTTAGTATAAGACATATATTAGGATTGATTGACGTCATCAAATGTTTTTGATCACTTCCTGTTTCACCGGAAATGACTACAAATTTTGATTTTTAGATGGCACTCTCGGTATAAATTTACTTTATTCGATTGAAAATGACACTCTCAATAGAATGACATACCATATATCAACTTTTAACAATTTCGCTTAAAAAATTGTATTTTAAATTTCAATCTAGAGTACCGTGGCTGTGTTAAAACATTAATTTTTAATCAAGGAACTTTGGAAAAATTGATTTGATCGTCTAATGTTTTTCGTGTTTTGTCCTAACGGGCTAAAAGATTCCAAAATCGTATTTTTAATCATATATAATTTTTTTCAAATAGAACAAGGGTGGTTCATTAGCATAATTGAAAAAAACATTTTTTCAACATTTTTTTAGGAATAATTTGCACCACCACTTGGTACCTCGAGTTAAATTTTCTTTATGAACCGCATGTTACAATTTCCAATAAACCATATGCAAAAATATCAAAAGTTGACATATGATATGTCATTCTATTCATAATATCATTTTCTATCGAATAAAGTAAAAATAAATACCGAGGGTGTCATTTAAAAATCAACAGTTGTAGTCATTTCCGGTGAAACAGGAAGTAACCAAAAACAATTGAATACGTCAATCAGTCCTAATTTATTTCATATACTTACATACCAACTGTCCTTTTTGTCTGAAAAAAATAAAAAAGAGACTTTTGAGACGGAACCGGTATACTATGCATTATTAAGAATTTAAACAAAACTAAATATATACAAAACTTAAATAGATTCTGTTTTACAATACAAACACAATAGAATTCTCATAAAACAACAAATTATTCTTCGATATCTTAAACAAGTACAAATTTAATTTAAACTATATTTCATACATCATTAAATAATACATTTGATAAGTCTGTGCAATACTAAAAGTATGAAATAACTTCAGAAATAAAAAAATAAACATATTAGACTTAACATTGGATAAAATTTCTTAAACAAAACAGTGAATAAACTTTTACAATTCACATAACAAAATAAAACCAAACAAGAAACGCAATATTCAACCTAAAAAAGAATAATTAAAGATAGATTTTATACAACGGTTCTAATCTTTCAACGACCACTTTACTTGGGCTTTCTCCTTGGCCATATCTTAAAAGATTTAAAATTTATTAATGTAAGTATATAAATAAAAAAAATATTGTAATCCTTACCCAGAATCGCTGAAAGACTTGTTTTCGGACAACTTTAAGTCAACTGTAACAAATAAATGTTAATAAAAAGACAGATCTAAAATGAAATGACTTACAGTTATTTTCATTTTCTCTCTCGTAACAAGCCTGTACATTATAGTTCATAGACTGCATCGGTAAATTCGTTGTTTTGGATGACACATTTTCGCTAAATGAAAGTGTCTGTATGTCTAAAGAACCAAAAAAAAATCATTTTGAAGGAAACAAAAATTTCTAAAATACAGGGGTCCCAACATTCCGTGGACATAAGCTTCATTCAAGCTCCATTCAGAAACTCAAAATCAATGGAATAAATTAGTGGTTTCAATAGCGTAGAAGTTTCTCTAATATCAATGTAAACATTCACAATGTCAAAATTAGTGGTAGTAATCTTCACTTAGTGGAAAAAGTTAACAAACCTTTAACTTTTCCACTGATTATACTTCAAAATTTGCGAGAAATGTCATTTTGGCCTTTGATTATCGTCCGTCAAGAGAAATTGTAGTTAGAAATCAAAAGTTGATTGTTTTATAATATGTTGGCAACGTCGCAGGTCAAGTGTTAATGTGAATTAGAATTTTATCCGTTAAATATATTCAAAAAGTGGAGTTATCTATGAAATAAATTAGAAAATTCAAATTACAAGTTATAAAGTATATTAAGATAGAACGGGTGAGTGAAAATCAGTTGATTCAGACTTCACGAAAAGTAGTTTTTGAATATCTCTAAAATATCACATAGAAGAATTTAAAGAATTTGCAATATTTAGCAAGCAACCTTACAAGCCATCCCAACGGTGTTGTCAAGTGTCTGAAAATTTACTGCTGGTTTATCGATAAAATGACCCAAGAAATTAAATTAAGGGATTTATACACGCTCTTGAATAATACAGGGTGGCCCATCGAAAACGTTCCGCAAGGCATAACGGCCAAAGTAATATTTTTTTCAGAAAATTCAAAAACACGTCAATTTTGTTTGTGAGGGGGACAACTTTTGCCCCAAAAATGATTGCAAAATATTCAACCCTCTAAGCGGGGATGTTATCCCCCATTTTTTTTTAAATGGGAAGGGGGGTCAAGTGGTACCGCAATGAAAAGGGCTTTCTATTCTCTATACTTTCCTGCTTCGTTTTTGAAAATCGGTCGAGTCATTGAGAAAATATGAAGGATTGAAATTTGAAAAGTTTATTTAAATATTTATCAGAGTAATTGTTAAGGATAAATTCCTTCGACCAATTTACTATTTTTTCTTATTATTTCTAGATGTTTATGCATTTTTTCACTTGCCACAAGGTTGAACGATCAGGTGCGGTAGTTGCTAGATAGCTGTTCTTTGACTTGTGCGTTGAAGTTCTTACAACAAGTAGTGCAAGTCTTGAAAGTCCAATAACCCCGCCTGTTGCTTCTCAAAGCTGCACATTCAAGTGCACTCCAAAGAGAATAGGTAAATACTTATATTTTTCTCATATTTCTTATTGTTAATGATATTGTTTGACATTTTCTATCTTAAATTATAAACTATTAATAAACTGTTATATGGCATCAGGGGCGGATGGGGAAGTAGAAACCGGCCCGGGAATAACAGGCAACCGATCCGAATCCGCAAAAACAAAATGACCATAACGAAGAAACATATTTTATTTATTAATATACAGGGTGTCCCAGAAATAAGTGCAAGTATTTTAACTGGTAGTATATTTCGGCCTCAGAAACACGCCTATCAGTTTTTTTTTGCGAAAATTTGGAATTTTATGGATTTTTTTTTAGTTTGAAGTTAAGAAAACATAATTTCTTGATAATCTGACAACATAGGTAGTAGATTAAATTTACATGAAAGAAATTACAGAAAAGATCCAGTGGTTCTCAAAATTTAAGCAAAAAAGTATTTTTTGTTTAAATATTCAAAGTAAAATACCTCGATTATTTTGGGCTTACTTGACAAACGGTAAAGAGAAAAAATGTTTCTTTTGACCAAATCTATCCCCCTTAAAATACTTGCACTTATTTCTGGGACACCCTAGGTAAGGGTCAAATCACCCCAAGTAAGGGTGATTTTCGCTCGGACGAAAAAAACTCTTTTGCCTCCGATTTTTTAAAAATATTGAAATTGTCTTGATCAAAATTTTTATAAAGATCAATATCGGGTCGGACATCTGAATTTTTACTAGAAAATAGCTCAGTTTCACAGGGTTCTACTGTTTTATTTCCATTATCGATAACATTTGATCTTGAATATGCTACGATTTTGAATCACGGTTTTGAGAAACTTGACTTCCTGATTCATTCAGTTCAGCTGGCCCCCTTCCTGATTCATTCAGTTCAGCTCTGTGAAATACATTATTTTTAGATTTTCATGTATATGCTTTCTTACAGATTGTAGAAAGAAATTCTCTCTTTTCTGGTACAGCAGCAGCCTCGTCATGTATACGTGTTTTAATTTTGGTATAATTCTCATCACGTAACTTTTTCTAGTTTCTACATTTGGCATCTTGTATGATAATACCATGACTCAAACGAAAAAGGCAATAGCAATACCTAGGCAATACCTAAGCAGTGGATATAAATGTGTTTTAATAAAAGAATAGTGGTAAAACTATACAGAATGAGTCTTAAGCGCAAATATTTTCAGGGGTGGTATATTTTGTCCCCAGGAACACGTCTATGAGTTTTTTTGTAAAAAAAAGATGTTGAAAATCGTGCTTTTTCTTTTAAATTTTCCTGTATATTTTAGAAAAAATTTTAGAACTTCCTGTTCACCGCAAATTTTCCCACGGTATAGTTTCTTAATCTTTGATATTACGGCACAAAAAGAGATGCAAATACAGAAAGATTTAGGCGGCAATTTTTTTTAAAAATAAATCATTTTTTTTTTAATTCAAACTTTAATAACTCTGTTATTTTGGACTTATTTGAAACACGGTAAAGAGAATATAGTATGTGTTTCTTTTATTCATATCTACAAGCCCTGAAAATATTTGCATAAAGCAAACAAAAAAAAACATTTCAAATGGAACAACAAACAACAGATGTTTATTAAAATTATAAGTATCTCAGAGGAAAACATCTAACAATAGTTATTTTACAAATTGGTGTTTATGTTTAAAAGAAACTAACGATTATATTGATGCAAACTGATTAGTTAGTTAGGCAGTCACTAGAATCTTACGTAACTTTAGTTAGAAGATTAACCATTTAATTTTTGCTAAATCAATCTTTTTTTGAGCTCTGATCGGGACCGGTCCACCAGCCCATCATTCCACCGGCACACCGGGAATTTTCCCGTTTTCCCATATGGCCCATCCACCCCTGTATGGCATCAAGTTGGCTTAGAAATAACGATCAGTGACGTTTTCCATATAATTTTACTTGCTTGTTTTTGTTGCCATTCTTATAATACTATTTTTATTTTTAGTTGCTCCACCATTAGAAACAGCTTTGAGTAACTTAGCTTCAATAAGTAGTGAAGTCCTGAAAGACCAGTAACACCGCCTGTTGCTTCTCAAAGCTGCACATTCAAGTGCACTTCTAAGAGAATAGGTAATTACTAATCTTTTTCTTATATTTCTTATTGTCAATGATATTGTTTGATATTTTCTATCATTTAAATTATAAGTTTTGTATAAAAGTACACAGTAAGTTTATTCTATTGTTTGTTTTAGGTTTATCCATTAGAAGAAGTCTTTTAAAAGAGGTTGATGTCTAGGGTAACTAGTCTAACAACTAAAGCCTGAAAATTATATATGGCGGCTACAGATCTGAAGAAGATTACACGTCGCTTGGATGAATTTTTAAAGAACAAGATGTCAGAGCAATGTTTAAATTTCATCAATTGCCAAATTAGGATGTTGCATAAAAATGCTAGGGGGCGCCGTTTTACATTTGATGACAAAGTGTTTGCCCTCTCTTCTAAAGCAAAGCCCAAAGGCCTATAAACTATTAAGAGCAACATTTACTTTGCCATCACGCAGAACGCTTATGAATTTGTTAAATAAAATTCATTTTACTACTGGCATTGTACCAAAAGTTATGGAAACTCTACAGATTTCAATACAACAATTGGACTCTTTAGATAAAACGTGTGTACTCATGTTTGATGAAATATCCCTAAAGCCAGCATTAACATATGATAAGAAATGGGATACAATTGTAGGATTTGCTGATTTAGACCAAAAAAGAAGTTTAAGATTTGCAGACCATGCCTTGGTGTTTATGGTACAAGGGTTGAGGAAAAAATGAAAACAGCCAATTTCCTTCCATTTTACTCAAGGGGGAATAAATTCCGATCAGCTCAAAGTGTTACTTAAGGATAAAATTCTCGCACTTCAGCAAATAGGGCTAAATGTGATCTGCACAGTTTGCGATCAATATTCTGCAAATATTATTGCGATAAAAAAAATGATAATGGAATCGCCAAGAAAGAGTGCACAAGCAGATATATTTCAAATACGATCATTTACGATCCACCCGAATTGTTAAATGGCGTCAGAAACAATTTAATAAAAAAAAAATTGTGGACCACAATGTCGTTAAAGAGGCCAATTGGGATCACATTGTACAACTATATGAATTGGATGAAGGAGATTTTAATACAAAAATGTGCAACAAATTGACGAATGCTCATATCTACAAAGATAAATTGAAAAAAATTAAGGTCAAAAATGCAGCTCAAGTTTTTTCTCACAGAGTGTCCTCAACATTGAGATGGCCGTTAAATATGGTAAGCTTAATTTTAATATAAATAGTTTAGTCTTTAATCCTGTATTGTATTTCATTTTTTTTTAATTCAAATTAGACAATAATAAAAAATATATTTTGTTACAGGCCAGCAAGGACTACTTCCACCAGCTGCTGAAGGCCCTGCCAATTTCTTATCATTTATTGACCAGGTATTTGACAGTGTCAATGGTCCCAAGTTTTGAAGCTGACCAAGGCAAAGAATTAAGGTGCTGTGTCAAAGATAGAGCCAACCATTTACAATTTTGGGAAAAAAGTGTACAAACATTTAACTCTGGTAGGTTTATAACACCAAAAGGTGAGAAGATTCCACCTACAATCCAGAGTTGGATAAAAACTTAAGAGAATTCATATTCCTGTGGAAACAGTGGCTGTAAGTATTGTTCTCCCAGAAGAGTTAACCAAGACCCACTGGACATCTTTTTTGGGCGTATAAGAAGTCTTTATCATCGTACAAA